ATAACACCCTTGATATAAGACACTGGATACAAAAGCTGCTCACACAAGTCTCCTGAGTGCGTGAGATCAAAGTAGACCTTTTAAGACACTCATGATGCTGACAGATTGTGCCACTCAACAATTTAGAAGTGCTTTTTCTCTCGTCAATCTTATGTTTCATTAAAAGGCAAAACGTACCTCTGTGATGGGACTATCTATACTAGAAGCAAATCCAACAAGACAGAGCGTAGGTGGTGTTGGCCACTGTTGCGACAAGAGGCTGGAGAGACTGTGAGAACCTGGCAGTGGACAAGAACTGGGCACGCTGCATCAGTCCAAGATCTGTTAACATTTACCTGGTAAAGTCTTGTGTTCCTTGACATGAGGTCTAGCAGCATCTGAGTTGCTCTGAGCTAAACTCAATGGATGCCCTGCTTAGGGCACGCCATTATAAAATTACCATGGTTGCTTTCAATAAAAATTCATCCCCATTCAAACTGAAAAAAGTAACTACATGAAGAACATGCAGCACCCAGTTCACTTTTTTCCCTTATTATCTGTTCTGTAAACCTGTGGCTGAGCCCCCACGTGTGGCAGGTGGACTGAAAGCCAGATATCAAATGAGAAAATATTACAAAATTCCCCTACTGATGTGAAACCGTGGAACCCATTGTCTTTTCAAGGCCTTCTTTAGGTTCAAAATGATGAACGGACAGTGTACAAGAAACTTTTACAGGATACATTTCAAGGCACCTTCACCATCAGTGGCTTTTCAAGGCATTCTTACCTTTGCCTTGTCTACCCATTCCAGCTCGTATAAGTAGATTTATCTACAACTCATGCCTGACAATTAGTCTAACGCATATAAGCTGCACCTTAGTCAAGAACCTGTTTCCCAAACAATCCCCCCCCCACAATTATCATCATCATAAATTACTTATTATGACAACCCACTGTTGCCATAAAAACCTCAATGGTTCGGCCAAGAGTCTGCTTTAAACTTGGAGGAGCCCAAAAGCTGGTTGCAACAATGCCCCAAAGCTCATCTCTGAGAGAGGCCTCAAACACAGTTGGGAGTTCTCAGGGCATGTGCAATATTGACCTTACCTGGAGTCTGATTCTCCAAGTTGATTTTCCCACATTATCAGCGCTTGACAGTACTTCTGAACCTGCTCTCTGCTTGCAAAAGACAGGTCAGAAAATGTGCTCTTGGCAGCCTATAACCACATTCTGAATTTCTACTGGAAGCTCAGAGCAGTGTTAAAGAGCACCCTGCATGATCATCTTCAGTGCAGACATCCTTCAGCCTATTCTTGGATCATATACATTAACCTGCAAAAAATTAAAGCTTCCTTCCTTAAGATGAATATCTTGTTTCTTTGCTCCCTATCTGCCCTAAAAAATTGCGTCTGAGTTTTGCTAAAATGCATTATTTTGAGGAAGGATGAAAAACCAAATTTACTAGTCAAACCGCTTGGAGCTGCATTACAACCACCTTCCTCAACGCAAAGGCTTTTTAAACACCCCATCTGGAATTCGGTGAGTCCTTTTTCACACCCCCAAATCGGGCTGTTTCTCAACCACCTGCCGGGTTAATATCTGATGAGAAGAAAGAGAAGCAACTCCTATGTGGAAAAGTATCTGCCAGTGGTTTCTTAATCCATACAAATATGTGTTGCAGACACAGACAGTCACAAAAAGGATGAAGACTTTGATCTTCCTGGCTGAAGTGTAGAACAAGTAGAGGTAACACTGCAAAAATTAAAAAAACAAACAAACAGAAAAAACAGCTGTTATGTAAGCACGGTACATGCACAATAGAGTTAGTCCTTGATTTATGACAGCAACTGGGACTGGAATTGCTGTTGCTAAGTAACACGGTCGTAAAGCGCAACATCACATTGCCATCGTTAAGTGAATCACCGCAAATTGTTAAGTGAGGACGTCATGTGGTTGTCATTTGCACCCTCCTGCTGGCATCCCCATTGACTTTGCTCCTCAGAAGCAGGCAAAGAAGGTCACAAATGGGAATCATGAGACCGGGGGGATGCTGCGACAGCTGGAACTCTGAGGACTGGTCGTAAGTACCACTTGTTCAGCACCATTGCACGTTTGAAGGGTCACTGAATGAGTGGTCATTAAGCAAGGACCACCCATATAAGCATGGACAATGACTATTTAAAATGGTATTAACTGCATCATAGATCATGCCATCAAGGTTTTCATAACAAAACATCCCCTAAAATACCCAAAGGTTGCTGGAATCAACCAGCGATCCAAAAGCGAAATGAGGCATTAAACTGCGTTTCCTCTGCTAACACCATTTCAGCAAAATTCATTGGTGGAAAGGCCAAACTCTAACAAGATTGCTGGGTCTTATCTGAATCCCTGCCAGCTCTCACTCAAGAATATTAAAATCTTAACTTCTCAGAACTGGGAAGTTATTTGGTTATGTTGTGACATTTGGGTCATTTTTAACTTATTTTTCAGTGCTTGGCACTGAAAAACTGCCAACACCTGATTTACAGGCATATTAAAGACAAAGATCTGAATACAGAAAACACCACATCACAATAAACCCATGATAAGCCCTCCATTATCAACTTTTAAATCAAAGCATTACAGCAAGCCATTGAGGTAAAAGCTCAAGAATATTAAAATCTTAATTTAAGACACTTTTTAACGAAAAAAAAGAAAAAAACCAGGAAGGAAAGACAAGTCCCAACAAAGCAGATAATGTATAAATTACTTACCAAACCAAAGCAGGCGATGAAAGGCAGCAGAAATGCTACTACATTTCCAATTCCTTTGTGATCTTCCTACAGGAAGATGAATTTGAACGTCAAATTAAAATTCAAAGATGAATTTGAATGTCAAACTGACTCAGCTAGTGCAGAGAGGTCCACAAAAGAGACCCCCTGCACCACACACACATTTTTCCTACCTAGTCAGCAAAGGTCATCTTCGAAAGCTACCTGTTAAATAACTTTAACCAACGTACAGTGGTACCTCTACTTACGAACGCCCCTACTTACGATTTTTTCGAGATCCGCCCAGCTCCGGCCCAAAAAATTTCCCTCTACTTAAAAACTCGCCTCTACTTATGAACCGGATCCGTGGCTATTTTCCTTGCTGCCACGCGGTCGTGGCTTCCTGTGGGCGAGACTGCGGTAGCAAGGAGACGTTCGGTGAGGCTTGTGGTGTGTTTTGTGGTGTTTGGAAGGTTT